CATTTAACAAGTACATATATATATATATATATATATATACATGTTGCAAGACGATTCATCGTTCGCGTCAGACGTAAGAGACATGTGCCATTATACATGAATAAATATGCGTAATACTTCTAGGTTTAGTAGGCAGTATGCGGTTACATTGAGTCAACCACCCGACTGTTATGGAATGTGATGTTTAATATAAAGTTTGTGAAACGGCTTTGCGGTGTTCCTCCACATTTTTGTGAAATTAGAAGAAGTTGGCCTTTCTCTGCAATAGCCCGAAAGAAACCAATTACAAATAAACGGCTTCTAAGCGGGATGTTCCCTCAGTTAGTAGTAAAATGTCTTCAAATACACGTTTCTAATCATTTTACTCCACAAATAACACTGAGCTGATTATGGTTGCGCAGTCATGATTTAGTTTCATCCGACAAAAAAGTGCTGCTGCATATGCTGCACTGTGTCACGGGTTCGTTGACAACGGCCTCGTTATGGAGGATGGTTTTATAAACTTGCGCCTTCCTAAAGCACCGGCATAGGTGTCTCACCTATTGCTAAATTCTTTGGTATTTATGGTAGTTAACTTAATCAAAAATTGTCAGAAGCCCCTTGGGATATCCAAATGTTTGCGCATGCCCAGAATTACCGAAATATAACTGACATGCTTTGTCCACACAGATCAATAGACAGTCAAGCCCAAAAGCGCTGAGTTGCCCTCTTCTTAAATGCCCCGGATTCATAGGAATGGAACTGTGTTATTTATTGAAGATCTTCACAAGCAGCACTAATTCTGCCAATGATGAAGTGGGGTAAAGGGACACGTAATTTGGCATTCTGACTACACGCTGGTTGCGAAACTGCCAAACATTTATGTGTGTTTTTCCCGCATATATTTCTGTCACAAGCTTTGAAGTCATCAACGGGTACACGTAAACACGGTAAACTAAATTTTATTCATGCCAGAATGAAACAGTGATTCCAATGTTACTCGAAATACATCCTGAGCAGCTTCTCGTTCTTCACCGATTATGCCTTTTGGGAGAATCACCGTTGTTGTTTGTTTAATTGTTGCTGTTTTCGGACTCGCTTATTTAGTAGAATTTAGCAAAAATTTAAGATAATCAGAAGGGATACAAATCCACAGAAAATGTTTGGGAGTCAGCTAAAAAACTGACCTTGATAATAGTGGTGATAATAGTGGTGATAAATGACCATCTGCCATAGGTTTGATGTGATCCACCGTGATACAAGTTGCATGCATCCAAACAAATGCGATCAATATTTTCACACTTCGGGGTCATCCGAGACACCATAAAATGGAGTGAACCGAACGACATTTCCGTACTTTTTTAGATTTCAGAGCAAGATTAAGCATGGAACCTCGCGTTATGCTTATTACTCTTGTCTTCTGTAGGCCATGAATCCGTTGGAGGAAAAATTTATGCATAATTTGACGTTACTTAAATGTGGTAATCACTAACCTTTTTAGTTGAAAGAGTGATGACATGGAGTTTGCAATTTGTGATGCGTGTATACGTAAGTAGTACAAATCATTCCACGTGTATCGAGCATTTCGTAAGCCAGCACGGCTTCATGAACTCCCGCAGAATTAGAACGTCGGTTTTTCCGTAGGATACGGCTGCAAGTCATCTGTAATTTTAGTCCATAGTGCCGGAATGCTTATTGTTATCACGACGGCGACAACCACGTTTATAACTTTTTCAACAAAATTAGAAAGATGGAACTTTCGGCAATCATGTTCTTTTAAACTCCATTTGTATTTGCGTGTTACAATGGGAAAATTGACATTAGTACTTCCATATTGATGTGTTGAATTCGCTGAAGCGTGGAAGCAAGTTGTCAAATGTTGATGGCTATTGAGTCTATGTCCTTGGAAATCTGCAAAGATGCTTAAATTTTCTACGGAACTAAAGCACAAATATATGCGCAAATCCACGTGAACGGTTCCACTTAGGGCTGAATGCACGCTAGTATGAAGAGTTGAACCCAGCTATTAAGCCTTGCTGCAAAAATGCACATTTTTCACCTATCATCCATGGCAGCCATAATGATCTTTATAGCTATAGCTTGTTATTGTTCGTTGGATTTCCGTCAACTAAATTGTGGAACGCCTTAAGAGTCACATGAGACACTATTTTCGACAAGTGCCACCAGCTACCGGCTACAGTGTTTCTGGTCAAGATTGGTGTGCGTGCCATTGTAAGCTCACATGTACGAACTATGTCGCACGCATTTCTCGCGGGCAATTCCCTAGTACGTTCAAGTTAGTTCAGCTCTCGTGTTCTTTACCGCTGTTGCATTATCCATCTGGTCTGCGACAGACCTGTTCACCGCGCTTTCGGCCCTCATTACGGTATTCAATGAATATGTAATTATCACTTAAATATATTTCTATCATTCCTCAAAACTGGTATGAAAAGCCTGGGATTTTGATAAACGGAGGCCCGTGTGGAGGTTCGGCACGCGATAAGTAGTGAGATTTAGCGATCCACATTTTGAAAAAGTGACTTGACATAATT